ATACAGATGCACATAATAGCTATACATTCATAATCCACTATGCAAGCCCAGAACAATACCAAAACCGCACAATACCTCTTCCATGTGTTAAACCTCAAATTTCATTTTTTTTTGAACGCAAAGTCATATTTGTTCGATAATCAGGGTTGTTTGAGAATCTGAGTGGGTTGGCGCACATGTCTGTGTGTCTCAGCGGGAGGTTGTTAACAGCCCCCACAACTCAACATTCTGCTGAGTAAAAGCCCCTACCGACTCTACAACAGCATCCAACATTTATGATATTATTTATCAATCTGTGAGGCTGACTGTCATGGCATTGGCACAACAAGATGACCAATGAGATTTTTCTCACACTGAAAAACTGACAAGTTATTGTCCTGCTCATGGGTGCGTTTTCCAAAAGTATCGTTTGACAAAAATGGTCGCAAGTTCCATTGACCTCTGTTGGTAACAACAACGGAACTTGCGGCCATATTTGCTTTTGGGAAATGCACACCAGATCTGCTCCACAATGTTCCTCGGCAAACACAAGGCCTTATATTCAAAACCCAGACTTTTGTACACGGTAATTGTGTTACCAAATGTTTTTCCACCTCCTATACTTAAATTAAATTTATAAATGACAAACATTTTATAAGAAAAGCCCATTTTGTTGAGTATAATTTTTTTAATTCAACTTTGTAAGTTTCTCATTCTGGTGAACTTCACATTGGTGAGCTTGTATTTTCTAAACGGATATACTATATAATTTAACTTCAATATAATTACCCCCCCCCCCCCCCCATATTTGATATATCTGGAACATTTTAGTCAATTTTGTTGCCATTTTTGCTTCAAGCCCTGGTTAATTTCTAATTCTGGTTGCAATACGACTTAAAACACTAGAAATGAAAGTGAGATTTTGAGCAAAGTCGGTTGGTGTGACATGGAATACCGCCTTGAATGCAAATTCAAGCAACACAAACAAACTTGTACCAAAGAACCATAAGATCAGAAGAACATACTGCAGAACTTCACAGTGACCCTTTAATCTCGCCCCTTAACTGATGTCTCTGTCACCCCCCCTACTCTATCTCTCACCTTCCTTTTTTTCGTTTCTTTCAGCCATGGAGGAACGAGCACGCCAGCGCACCAAGCGCAGGAAAGAGATTGAGGAGCAGAGGAGACAGAAGGAGGAGGAGAAACTGGTAAGACTTGCTTCTCTTGAAGGATGGAAATAAGTGTATGTGTATGTGATGACACAAACCTCTCCTTTTTTGTTCTTTAGGCTCAAATGAAGGCAGCTGAGGAGGAAAGGCTCAGAGCTGAGGAAGAAGAGAAACAAAAGGAGGTAGAGAGGAAGAAGGAAGAGAAAAGGCAGCAGAGGAAGGTCTGTGGAATTGGTCTGAGGAATTATCATGGATTTATAGGCTTTACATAATTAGATTATGTTATTATTAATAGCGATTAAATGGTAGCTGCACTGTATGTGTTCCGTACATGAGTGATGCCTCAAATCTTGCGGCTTGTTAAGGAGAGGTGCGTTTTCACTTTTCTACAGGCAAATAACTGTAATTCAGCTCGTTCTGGTGATTTTCAGCTTTTAGGGATGATGGAATTGGTGAAAAATATCACAAGCCTCATCTAGGGACCAGATTGCCAGTGTGCAACCAACCGGAACGCCCTAGCAACTGATTAGAGTATGCTAAAAAACATTCAGAATAACTTAGCCACATTCAACATAGCCAACGAGTTTTGCATAAGCAAGCGCATCTAGAAAATGTAAACAAAAATGTACATCTAATTTATTTATCATGTTTATGCACACAGCTTTTTAGTTTATTCGTTTTAAGGAACCGTGTTTATGTGAACTTAGAAGGAGCTTGAGAAGCAGAAGAGAGCAGAATGGGAACAGGAACTGTCGAGGCGGGCGGCCCAGCACTACCTCAGAACCCTGTTACTGCACCGAGGCCTGGCACCATGGAAACTCCTGCTGGAGCAAAGCCATGTCAACACACAGGTCAGCGCTGCTGCAGACACACACACACACACACATTCATGCCCTACAGTAACAATGCAGGCCATTCGCCTGCCTTCCAGACAGATTCTCACACACTCAATTATTCATCCAAAGAGTTATGGCCGCTCACACACAGACAGGAAGACCAGCTGTTGCATTGCATTAACTCTTGGTCCGTTCCCCAAATTTTAATGATGTTTACAGTATACTGTTGCGTTTCCACCTGGCTAACCACCTGTTTCCAAAATAAATAAACAGAGCGGATATCTGAGATGCAGGGTGGAGCGACCGAGAGGGAGAGATTGAGAGGAAAGACACAGAGAGAGAAACAGATGACGGAATGGCTTTGAATTCAGAATTTGCATTGTTGTTTAGATATTGATCCACATCCATGAGAACAGAAACCTCAAGGTCCAATTAGTTGCATGTGCCTCTATCTTTACAGTTCTCACAGGAAGTCAGCAGGGAAAGTTTGCGATCCATATAAACCATGGGAGTGCATGAGATGATGACACTGTTAATTAAATCTGGCAGTTATTTATGTTCGGGTGCTTTTGGCTTTTCGGGTCTCCTCCAGAGAGCGGTGGATCATTACACTCTGGCTCTGCAGAGAAGCTGCTTCTGCTCTTGGCGGCAGTGTGTGGATGAAGCCCACGCAGAGAGAGAGGCCAGTGCCAACCAGCTGTATCACCGGATCCTGCTTCAGAGGGCCGTGTGGAGCTGGACGAGGGTAAAACGCCACACACACGCATTACCTGTCAATGATTAGAAAAGATTCCGGTTTTAAGACAGCCTAATTTGGGATAGCCACAAGGTGTGTCTTATCGACTTATTAAAAATAATTTAGTTAATTTATAATAAATATGTATTATGTATCCATTATTTTGATATTAATATTAGTTTTTTTAAATTGTCTTATCGATTTATTATAAATACATTTATAAATAACTCAAATGTATTCATTCATTAATATTAATATTTTTTATAGACATAAATAAATAAGTGTATTTTATATAATAAATTAAACAATTTTTGAGGCATATTATAATTAAATTTGGTATAGCCACAAAGTGTCTTATCGTCTTATAACTTTATTAAAATGTTTATTTATTCATAATAAATTAAATACATATTTATTGTTTATTAATTTATAGGCATATAATTAATTGTATTGTTTATAATAAATAAATAATACATATTTATTAATAAAAAAAATTTTGTTTGTTTGTTGTAAATATATATGCATTTAAATATATATATTTCTTTATAGATTCCTTATATTGTATTATTTGTAATAAAGGAAATTAAAATAATATTAATTAAATTAATACATAAAAAAATTCTAATGTGCTTTATTTATTATCTTTACATTTTCTGAAGAAATTATCACCAGAACTGACCAACAAGGACTTGGCCATGTGGTTACTAATGTTTTCTGGGTGGTTTCTTACTGGCCCATATTTAAGTGCCTAAGTTTAATATTTAGGGTTAGTAATATTAATAAATCCTTAAGTATGAGCAATTTTCTGCCTTTGATTTCAATACTTACCAGTTAAAAGATCTGTGTTGTATACTGGAAGCACGAGCCGAGCGGTTCCACAGGATACACACCCAGAGGAAGGCGTTCACGGCACTGCTAGATCACGCAACAGAAGAGCGAATAACAGCCTGGGACAATGAGCAGCGGGCAGAGGAGCACAACAGCAGGTCTTTACCTCGTATAAGTGTGAATGTGTGACAGTTTACTGCACCATAAGGCCAAATCTAGAGATGAACTTGTGTAGTTCTAAAAGAATTTAAAGTTTGCTCTGACTTCTGGTTCTCTGGGCTTTGTAGGAGAGCTGTCAAGAAGTGTTTTGCTAGCTGGAGGCGTCTTCCTGTTGTCTTACGAGAGGAGAAAGAAAGAGAGGAACGCAGAGATCAACTCAGACGTAAAGTCTCTGAGATTTTGCCTGACTTCCGCGCCTCCCCTATGGACTCCCTGTGGCGGTCCGTAAATCCTCTTTAACCAGCACACAGGCTGCAAATACCAAGCTTTACATCACATCATTAAATGACATTGACAACATCTGCAGCTTGATGAGCCAACGTGTTTAATCTTCTTACGCTCGTTAATTTTTCTATGGAACAGTTTAATTGAACAACTTTGAGAATGAAATGCATTACATTATAAAACCGTCTCGCATGAGACAAATAAACATCCGGATTTTGAACGGCTTCTTTATGTGCTTCTGTGCTTAGAAGGCATTTAATGGAAGGAAAACAACTGATTCAAAAACACTGAAATGTAGCTGGATGGTAAGCAGCATAGATTTATCCTCAATTGAAGCACATGAAAAGAAAACACACACACAGAGAGAGAGAGAGAGAACGAGAGAGAGAGAGAACAACAAACATGAAGCTCAACATGAAACATTCATACTGAGATGACAGTTTTAAAGCTGTGATATGTCTGGATATAGATGCATTGTTGCATCACTTCTGATGTCCCAAAAGGGCACTAAATAATGTTTGACATTGACTGTGCATTCACATATTGGAGTTGAGAGATCAAATATTAGACAGTACAATACATAATTGATCCAACTAGCAGTGAATGCAAACCAGAAATGCATATTTGTGGTAACACTTCACAATAAGGTCTCATTTAACATTAGTTAATGCATTAAATAACATGAACTAACAATGAGCAATATATTTTTTTACAGCATTTATTCATCTTTGTTAATAAAAATACATTTGTTTACTGTTTGTTCATGCTAGTTCACAGTGCATTAATTAATGCTAACAGATCATTTTGATTTTAAAAATTGTATTAGTGAATGTTGAAATTAACATTAACAAATGAAACCTTATTGGAAAATTGTAAAAACTAAATACAAATGAATGTTTCAAAGGGTTCCTTCTGAGTGAAATTACTAAAAAGAATTTTGTATTAGAAAAAAAAAATATTTAAGGACAACTTCACATAATATCTGTAATGTCAAGTCATGTGTAAACACTATCCACCGCAAAGTAATGAAGCACTAGATACTGAATTACACTAGGAGAGATGTTATACTACAACACTGCCATCTACTGTTCCACAACATTCACCTGACTCTTGATGAGACCTTGACCACAACGTTTCGAGCCATAAAACTGACTCCGGAATGGATGTTGAAGGCATTAAGTAGCACAACATTATACTTCACTGTAGTATATAAGTGATAATTCACTTTAAAGACAGACTTTTCCATCAGCAGACACTGCCAGTTTAATGTCTACACCAGATCTGATGGTTTATGGTTTGACAGCTCTGAAGCCTTACTCATGGTTAAGAATTCAGTCCAGTTACTACAGAAACCTCGGGAGTAGGTGCCGGTGTCGATGACCAGACCCCAGAGACGTCTGCGACCGGTTTTCTCTCTCAGAGCCAGGCGTGCCTCACGTTCGGTCACATTGAAGCTGACGTTGAGGAGCTGTAAGATCAGCAGGTGCAGTAAACCTCCCGTCACAATACTGCTGTACCAGGCACAGGTGAAACACAGAGCAGAACTGGCCGACAGAAACACATACAAACGAGTTGATTATTGTTACATTATTAATACCATAAATACAAAAAAATGCTGCTATAAACAGTCATATTAAACTTGAGGAACAAAATTTAGTCACCATGCAATTAAAATCTTGTTTTTTTTAAATGAAATATTGCCGTATGCATTATAAATGATTTATCCATGCACAGATTGCACACCTTTTTTTTTTTTAAATGTCATGTGCCCTCATTATCTTTAATCAAAATAACTTCCCTTCCCTCTTGCAGTGAGATCTCTTCTCTGATGGCATGTTTACTGGCGCGAGGGCGGGACAACCTGTCTTTTCTCCATTAATGATAACTTATAAATCTTAAAAGACAGATTGTTGTGAGCTACGAGGTTGTTAATCAATGGTATTAGCTTCTGTTGAAGCCATCAGCCCATAATTATATATAATTTGTAGTTTAATATTTCTTCATTGTTTATGCGGTTCGCAACGCTTCATGGGATTGTAGCTTTTCCCCCACTAAAGCCGTAAGGAATAGTTAAATAATTTAAATTCGGTCATCATTTACTCACCCTCAAGTGGTTTCAAAACTGTATGAATTTTTCTTCTGCTGAACACAAAAGATGATATTTTGAAGAATGACGGTAACCAGACAGTTGATGGACCCCATTGACTTCCATAGTATTTTTTTTTCTGAGTAAATGACAGAATTTTCATTTTTAAGTGAACTATTCCTTTAAGTACACAGTCTTGTCCCTTTGTATTTTTGTCAAATTTTCAAATGTTTTTTTGATTTAAATCAAAGTTTGTAATGTTGTGATTCACCTCATTGCTGGTTAGGTTTGGTTCATGGCTTATAGCGCGTTAACGAATACTTTTAAAAATCCATATGGGAGAAGTGAATAGAAAAAACACTTCCAGAACCAGCGCTGCTGAAAAAGTGGACTGGCACTAATGCACTCTTTTCTTGTTCAAGATGTCCTTTCACTTGGACACGTCACAATAGGGAAGAAATGACTATTGCAACTTCCGTCTCACGCCGAATGTAAAGGTGATGTGTAATTTGTTCCATGTTAAAGAAACTTTAATTTAGCTCTTTCAATTTTGCCCTTTTAATTTGAGTTGTGTTGTAATTGTTATCTATAACTAATCCTAAATTATAAAAAATATTTTTTGTTAATTGAGATACAATATAAAAATTAAATGAAAAACTTAAACTTTTACAAAATTAGAAATGTAGCGTTGGCAACTAACTGAAATAATTCATTAAAAGTTTGAGTTGGGAAGTACTAGTTACTAAAAGTGAAATAAAAAAGCTAAATAGAAACTAACAAACAAAAATAATTACTAAAACTTAAATGAAAATTAAAAAAAGAATATATAAAATAAAGCTAATTCAAAATGTTAATAAATACTATAATAGTATATAAAAAAATACTGTGTGTGTGTGTAAAATGGCAGATGATGTTTGGGAAATTCAGAATTTGGTTCTCTTAACCCTCAATGATTCTGCGAAACACTGATATGGTGCATTTGGAGCAGTTTACACAAACAGAAAGGCAACAAAATTCCATTAAATTTACTATTTTAAAGTGACTTTCCAGAAAAGAAAATCATCTTTTTTCATCAATAACTAATGAACTGGAAGGAATTGAGGTGGTGAATAGAAAGGTTTAAACAGCAGAAGCATTTGTGTGTGTTTTGTTGTTGAATCCACACCTGTACTGCTTGTAGACGTCAGGACAGTAGAGCAGTGCCGTCATCACACTCTGATGGGGACACACGCTTCGAAGAACCAAACTGATCCCGTACAGCGACGTCAGCAGAAAGAAAACAAGCATCAGAAGGAAACTGGGGTGATTGGCCTGTCCCACACAGCTGTTGATCCTACCACAAAAACAAAATGACCAACAAGACACCGAACTGAGACCTGGAGATTCATTTACACATATCAGTTACACAGAATAAGAAGAACGCAGAGAGTGAGATCAACTCACTGTCTCCGTTACACATATGTTTACACGAAGAACAAGATATTTCACAGGACACAAAAAACCTGATTGACTCAACAAGCAACACAGAAACATTTTTGAACACTAGAGTGATAATAGGCAAACAAGACACACCTGGGAATGATCACAGAACTAATCAACTAGAAAAACTACAAAAGGACTACGAAAAAGACACACGACAGGAAACAGGAACAGAACCATGTCAAATGCAAACTAAAAGTCCAATTAACAAAGCACAAGAAACACAAAGCCAGGTAATACATCATTTCTCAAAATTCTGGTAATGCTAATGTATACATTTTCATGACAAAAAAAAAAAATCAAGTGTACTTGAAAAATATTGCATGAAAATGTACCATATTTTAGCACCATTAACTTTTTTGCATTGTGACATTATTTTCATGTGAAATGAAATTAAAATATTTTCAAAAAATCGTATTATATTTAAAATGTCTAATTATAAAACGATTAATTATACAAATTATTACAATTATATTTGATGAATTACAAAAACATTTTTAAAATTAAATATAAAATAAAACGTATATTATATGTACACATACATTACAATCAGCATAAATTAAAGGCAGAAGCCAGTTTTATAAATACAAACAAATTTATAAAATTACTAAATGTTTTAAATTAAATGTACAAATTACTAAATATTTATTTTTCCTTTTTTTAGTAAAATTAGATATTTTTAATGCTGCAATAAAGAGAACTTGGGGAGAAAATGCGTTTAATTTTATGTTTGTGTTTAATTAAAACACTATTTTGACATTTTCATGTCAAATTAAATAAAAATAATCTTATACTCTCATATATTTTCTAATTATAAAATTATTATTAATTATACAAATTATTATAATTATATTTGATGACTTGCAAAAAATATATTTTTAAAATTAAGCGTAAAATAAAATGTATATTATATGTTCACATACATTACAATCAGCATAAATTAAAGGTAGAAGCCAGTATTATAAATACAAATTAAATAAATATACACAAATTAAATTCTTTTTTTTTTATTAAATTAAATGTACAAATTGCTAAATACTTTAAATGTAAAAAAGCACTTTAAATAATATATCTTATTTTAGTTGCAAAATTAGATATTTTTCATGCTACAATAATGAGAACTTGAGGAGAAAAATTTGTTTAATTTTATGTTTGTGTTTAAAGTAATTAAATGCCGAAATACTAATGGTGCTAATCACAGGCTTTATTTTCTTTATGCTTAGTTTTGTCTTGTGATTTTTGCATGAAACATGTTACCTGCAGATGAAATTAATATTAATGAATGAATTAACTAATCCGATAATAATAACTGAGACCCTCTTGAATAAGGAACCCACCAGACACAGTGGTGGTCCAGACGCAGGATGCAGACTCCACAGATCCTGCAGTGTCCGGCTCTCGGGGGACGCACCACTTTGCATACTGTACACCAGTTCCTCCTCTGAACACTCTCCTGTGCTGTCCCAGATTCATCAGTTTGTTCAGGAGGACTGGCGTGATTGGCTATCACCACCTGGTGCTGTTCTCCGTTTAGATAGGCAGCATCTACATCAGGTGGTGGTTTGTGATAGGTCACTGTACTATGAGTGTCAGATGGAAGAGGCCTGACGTAGCCCGGCCCCCTCTTGGTGATTATGAGAGAAATGACCGTAAGAGCAACACCCGCCGTCACAGCGCACAACTGAAGATGATTCACATCACCGTGAGGGACGACTTCGGTGATGAAGAGGTAGAACATGTAGAAGAGGGAGAAGAGGGCGAGGCTGAGGAAGAATAAAGTGCGTCCTTTCTTTCGGTGAGTAAAGTAGTAGTACCAAATGACCATGATGGGCACTGCTGTTAGCACTACAATACCCAGCAGGTAGTGCAAAGCTGCAATGTGCAAAAAAACAGGAAGGAGAATAAGAGGAGGGATCAACGATAGATCAACTTGTTGGGCACCAGATATCCAGGGCACCCGCAGACGATCACTGATCGTGGCAACTACCCGAGACAGAGAGCCTGGATTTTGAGACTCCTTCTTCATCCATCTGGAAAATAAAATATTCTATCATATTCTTCATTTAACACATTTTACTATATTTAAAGGGGTCATTCACCCAAAAATTTAAATTCTGTTAAAGGTGCTATGTGTATTTTTTAGAGGCCTCTATCGGTGATGTTTCAGATTGCAACCAATTTTTACAAGAGCGCTTGTGCTCTTGCGCGTGCTCGAACTCAAGAGCGAGCACTCATGGTACCGGCCACACTGAGACTTTCAACTGACCGGAGAAAGCATCACACAACATGCTGGAAACTCGTGTAAACTCCCACTGCAACGTTACAATAATAGGCTACTTTTATCAGCTTGAGTTGAACTAATGCTCCATGCTCGTACCATGATAACGTTACATTGACTGCATTTAGTCGACATGTGGTGTTAGCATAAGGCATTTCACTAACTATTCGTGTATCTTTCACAATCAGGCAGCAATGTCAACATAGATGAATGTGATAACGAAAACGGTTAGTGAACTAGACTGAACAATTTCAGTGTAACAGTAAGAACGTAGGAAGTAACATTACTGTACTGAATGTGTCTGAAAATTATAAACAATATGATAGTAGTGGGATGAGTGACGTTAGACAGTAGATCTAGTAGGCTACATAAAATAAAAGTTACATCCTAAAGCACCTACTTTTTGTTATCCTGGAACAGTCTTTTGTATTAATTTCATGTCTCATGTATGTTGTAGTTTACCTTGCTATTTCATTACAGTTTACCATTATGTATATCAGCATATCTGAAAACTTGTAATTTATCACAATAAAAATAGCGGAGGTCTCTCCATAATTCAAACGCTCTGCCGATGTTGATCCGTGTTTTCGTCCTAAGTCGATCCGATTTGACGTTTGGCCTGACGAGCTTCAGCAGATACATTTTTGTTTTGTATATTTATGTGGAGTTTGTGTTGGAGTGTGTGTTGTGCTGGAGGCAGGTCGTTGTTTGGTGTTATCAGGCTCCATGTCGTTTAGCTGCAGTGCCGTCGCATACACTGTATATAAAAAGGAGAGAGGCTCGGGAGCGCGCATGCACGTCACATCCGATGGATTTCGCAGAAAATCCGACCCGGAGACTTCACATAGAAATAGGAATACTGGCCTTCAGAGGTAATAGCAAAACCCGACAAGTGGATCATTGTAATGTGTGATTACAACCCCTTTACACACAGGCAATAAAAAAAGGATTCATTTTAGAAGAAACGTTACATTTAGCACCTTTAATTTTCATCATTTACTCGCCCTCGTGTCATATTCCAAACCTGTAAGACTTTCGTTCATCTTCATAACACAAATGAAGATATTTTTGATAAAATCTGAGAGCTGTCTGTCCCTCCATTGACAGCAACACAACTACCACTTTGACCCTTCAAAAAGTTCATAAAGAGATCATGTAACTAATCCATATGAATTGAGCGGTTTATTCCAAATTTTCTGAAGAGACTCAAACACTATATATCATGAAAATAATGAAATTAGGCTTTTCAACTCACACATCAGTTATGTTAAACAGAAGATCAAGCATGTTTCCTTGATGTTTGAGAACCAATGAGGTTCATTCTCGTGTGTAACGCAGCACGTTTGAGCTTCTGCAAGAGGTTTGTTCTCGTGCGTCAAGTAGGTTCAGTTGAACTCAATGTTCATAGTCTCTTCAGAAAATGTGGGCTAAACCATTTCACAATCTCTTTATGAACTTTTTTTAGCATCAAAGTGTCAGTTGTGTAGCGGTTAATGGAGCTCTCATGTTTCATCAAAAAGATCTTCATTTGTATACCGAAGATGCAGAAATTCTTACGGTTTTGGAACGATATGAGGGTGAGTAATTAATAACAGAATTTTCATTTTTAGGAGAACTAACCCTTTAAGGGTGTGTTCACACTTGGCAGGTTTGGTTTGATTTAAATGATCTCTGGTGCAATTGCTCTGACAGTGCAGTTCATTTGAATAAGTATTAAAAGCTGCCATCCGAACCTTGGCACGCACAAAACAAGTGGACCGAGACCCACATTTTCAGGGGTTCCAAGTGAACTCTGGTGCAGTTCGACTGAAATATATATATGCAACATGGACCAAAAACACTCTCAAAAAAACAAAAACAGGACGTGATGTCACAAGATGCGTCCCTACAAAGGAGAGAGTGCTCGAGAAAATCAGATTTTTCTCGTAATAAGAGCTACGTGGCCCATTACAATTTGGTACTACAGGAGTCGAAAAACACCATCTCCTTGCAGCAGATCTTTGTTTGTGTGTGCAGTGGAGAAATTCCTGCCGCTGTTTTGTGAGTTCTCAGGTGGTTAAGATACAATGAGCGCATTTAACCCAGAACACAGCATTGTTTTGAATGTTTGGAAAGTTCGGTCTCAAATATATATCGGTTTCTTTTTAATTAAAACAAGAGAACCGAACTACAAGTGTGAACAGACCCTAAGTAGAAATCTATGAATCCAAAGTGCTATTTTAGTGGACCCTCGCTCACCTGTCACAAGCCTCATCCAAATCCTCACAGTCACAGCAACATGCTGCCATGTGACTGCGCCCGCCATGGCGATCAATGTACTCACAACAGCACAGAGGATCATCCTGATCTAGTGTTCGACGGGATCTCTTCGTCATGACGTCAACTTAGAAAACATAGGTGAGGGCAGGTATCATTCCTGTGAGGGAACCAAATTTAAATTTTAGTTCTCATTTCTCGATTTATTAGACTTAATTTCCACATGCTTTTATCCAAAGCGATATACAAGATAGGCCTATTCAATTGATCTCGTCATGCATTCACTAGGGATCGAACCCATGACCTTGTACTACATACTGTACATAGCCTACGATACATGATATACATACGATACGATACATGATATATACATACATAAAGAAAGAAAGAAAGTTTTGGTAGTACATTTTTGAATATATTTTAAATATAAACATTTAATTGACTTTTTTTTTACGCGCAGGTTACTGGAAAGTTGTATGTAGCATGTAAAGTCGGATGTAAAGCGATGGTGTTCTGATAAACGACACACTGGCCGTCTAGATTAGAACACGTCGAACAACAAAAGTACTCACTATACGTAAATAAACTAATAGGGACATAACGTTACTAAACGTAGCATGTGGCATGCGATATTTCGTACTTACAGCACAGAACAGTCATATTGTAGAAGTAGTTCTTTCGTAAGTGCTGTCAGTAGCGTCAGCCAGGGGCGTAGAATTTAGTAGGGACGCTAGGGACGTGTCCCTACCAATATCCAGTGACACTGATATATCCCTAGCAATATTTTCGATCAAAACTTTAAATATATTAAATATTGATGTCCCCGTCCCCACCAATTTCAAAATCAAACCTATATGCCACTGGCGTCAGCTGTCCTAGTCTCATTCTCGGTATCGAACGGTTCTAGTCTGTTTACCACTCTGGTTCATCATCATCATAGGTGTACTCCAGTCTACCAGCAACTGCACAAGAAACACTAAAGCAGTCCAAATCTACGAAGAGCACCAGGAAGTCGCGTAGCATACACAGCAACCGCGAACAGACAGCAGTGCTGTGTGTCGAATAGACCGCCTTTATCTTCCTGACGTCAGTGCAAACCATGGTGCAAACTTTTCATTTCCTCTGATTATAAAGGTTACTTAATGAACAGATGTTTTAAACAACAAAATATGACTACATTTTATGAATACATTTTTTTTATTACAAGTTCACTGACAGAATATCTACGTCACGTGACGTCATAGAGGACAGATGCACACCCGCAGCCTTTTAAAACATCAAAAAAAAGTTCTCTGTCATTTATGTCAGCACACATGAAATAAAACTATAAAGTAATTTAAAATGTAAATGCGCACTTACCTATTGAGTAAGCCAGCATTTGTTTAAAGGCACTGTTTTGAGATGAAGTCATAATGTAATAATGTTGTTGTGATATTTGATGTTAATAAAGATCATAAAAAAAATCTTAAAATAAAAGATAAATCAATAAGATGTAAACTTCACAAAATGAACATTTGAATTTTATTTATAAATAGTTTCAGGAGAAATGTCTTAATATATGCAGAGAAAAAAATAGATATCTATACACATCCACCTAATATTTTTCTGTTAAAGTTTGGAATGCTTGAGTATTACCACACAATTTTTTATTTTCCCAAGTAAACATTTAAGTCACAAATTTATTTTAGAGACAATACAGTCCCTAAAAGCTGTTGAACAACCAAAGGTGGTATTTAAAGACATGTAAACAATTTATAGGTAAAACATCACTCATTATTTACAGTAAACGTCAGAGATTTTATCTTCTCCATATGAACCTGTACTGTAAGACATTATTAAAATCCTGATGAGCATTCAGAACTTCAAACATTCTACAACTTTAATATGCACAATCATTTGTCAGTGGTGATCCCTGCATTAATAATGTTTTAAGGTGCAATCATTTACAAAGTCTTAGAAGTATCTAAAGACAAGAACATTGTCTAAATCAAGACAAAAAAGACAAGAGTAAATTTTAGGCAGATCTTTAACATGTGAACTGGAGGCAACGGGCCTGCATTGCCCCCTCCATAATCAAAATGAAGGACATGTGCAACTGCACTGAATCCATTACATATCTGAGAATTGAGGCTTTTGTTGTAGTCCAGAAAAAAATGGACATCAAATTAGCATCCAGCAGTTCAGAACATGATCATGAGAAGCCTTTGTTTAAACCTGCTACATTGCTGTTACCTTCACTTCAGCAATATCAAATAAGCAAAAGACAGTCACTTTTCTCCTATAGCTTCAAGTTCAAGTTAGCAAATTCAAGAGGAAACTCACAAGATTTAGTGTGCTAGTGCAACGATCCCATCCAAGACAAAAACAGCTTTGACAATAAAAATAAAAAACATCCAACCACAACAAAAAAAAGCCCAGAGAGATGATGAACATGGCTACGAGTCTGCCCTGGGGTGACTAGCCCTATGGCAACACTCCTCAGCGAGGACAGGTCTTATGGGAAGAATGCCCTTGTGTTATCAGGTCGCCAAACCCAATGCCATTTAAAGCTGAGAGGAGGACCTGTTGTAGACCTGAAAGTTCTGCTGAAGCACCATTAGAGAACTGCGTAGCTGTGAAGAAGGAAGCAGCAGAAATATAAATAAATTACATAATAGACATCTTAGCCAAAAGAGATGACACATGTAATGTAACCCCTTCATGTAGCAATAGTTTTGACTAACACCAAAAGATCAACATTTCTGGTCAAGAACTGCCAAATTAGACAGGAAAAAAGTCTCACTGATGAGTAACAGTGAACAAGCACAGTTTGTTTTTCATTTACGTGTCATTAAAGGATGGGTTTAATAACAGACAGTTTGGGACCCAAACATACTTGTTCAAGAAGGTTAATGGAGTCCTGCAGTACTGCTCTCAGTAGATGTGTTTCCTCTCGACTTCTGTGTGGCATACCCTGTCTGGGCCCTATGTCAGGTGCCAAACTACATAAAAACAGTTAGTAAGTCAATTTTGTTCATAAAAATGTACAAAAAAAACAAAATACAATGTCTTTTGAAAGAGCCTTTACCTGGACACTACTCTCTCCTTCATTCTGTGCTTGGTGTTTAGATACATACGATGAGCGACATCTTCCATGGCCCAAAGTTTAAAGAACAGCCCCAAGTTCAGAACCACCAGAACGAAAAGTCTGAAAGGCAAAACAATGTCACATTCATAAGCACATTAAGTATTTGTCTTGTACATAATTCTAAATGACCATGATTAAAATTAATAGTCTTTCTTCCATGTTTCACCCTGCAGATGTAAGCAGTGCATATTTATTTTGGCAACCATGTTAACAGGTTACATAATTCTCAGATTCTCTATTTTTCTATTTCTGAACTAAGCAGATAATGTATAATATATAATTGTATAGTATATATAATCTTTTGCAATATATACTAAAGTAGTGATGGATTTTTTTTTTTAGACAATATATCTGAGATACACTGAAAGTTTCTGGAATTTTGGGTTTCAAACAAACACTCTCTATTCATTAAATCTGACTCGCATACGCATAGCCTTTCAAAATATACCCCATTTCACCTTTGCGCATACACAGGCGGTCGACGACAAAAAAAGGCAAAAAATTATCAATTTAACTACCTTGTGAAACGACGGTTCTTGTAGCACTGTTGCCACCATGTGGACAAACTAATTAGTGCAAAATAATCAATGTGTGTGCGTTTAGAAAAATCAGTATGCGCATGTACTGCGCATACTGTAATGATACGAAATTTGTCATGCACACTGTACACGAACCCTAGCATACGTGTAAAAATGGCTTAATCTCACACTGCTTATGTATGAGGTGTGAAACAGGCCTTAGAGTAAATGAAGCCTTACATTAAGCTCATCCCAATTACAATTGAAGTGATGTTCCATCTGTGTGGTGTGTTCTTTATGTCCATGGCACCTGTAATGTAAAATGCAATGCAAACAGAATTGTTTTAAGTCTAAAACACAATATATTCATGTTTGCTTGAATAGAAAAAAAAACATAGACCACCAAATGAGCACATCTGATTAGTATGTGTATCTGTTTCTGGGGTTTATCAGTATTTTATTTTGGATTCAGAGAAAAAAAAAGAGAAAAAAAAGATAGATAGATATATTTATACCCATAGTGCCTCCTCTCTGCTGATCAGAGTCTGCGCTGTACTGCTTCCCCGGCTTCATGTGTTCCTGTAGGGTGCGACTGTAGGTTCTTCGCCTCCTGCGCAAACTACTCATCTTCCCAGCATCTCCGCTTCCTTGAGTCAACTCTGCCTCCTCTTCAAGCAGCTCTGCCTCTGTTTTGTGAGTTAAAGATCATTGTAATTGCATTAATATGAGAGCCTGAAGGTCACTGGATTGGTTAGGGATCTGGCTTTTGTCATCACTGTAGTTTTGCAATTAAATGGAGAAAATGGCCTTGGAGGCAATGGATCCAACTGATGGATTTCACCAATAGGAAATGGACACATCCACCTCCCAAGACACTCGGAGCAAGTCACTGATGTTCATTACTCATTTGATTCCCTAATCCAACATCCCATGGCACAGAAGCTATTAGCCAGCTTTCTTTTCCCAGTCGATAAGAAAAATATTGTGCAGTCTGTGGTTCCACTCACTTTAATTAATCTACAGTAGTTTTGGGCTGCATTTTATATGCCCTTCTGTTTTGATTTGTTCAGCAGTGTGGAGAACAAATATAGGCACTGGCTTTAGAAACTGGACCACTATGAAGAAGTCTTGTTTTAGTATCATTGAGATACTACTATAGTTTCTATTAATATTCTGAATTTGATTTTATTTGTATATTTAGTTAAAGTTCTAGTAATTTTGTTGTATGCTTTTGTCATAATTTTATATATATATATATATATATATATTTATTTTTTTACTGCTTCATAAAATAACTTAAGTTAACGTTTATTTCAAGTACCAAATGTGTTTTTTTGGTTTTAGTTTTATTCTATATATTACTATAATAATCCTGCTATGAAGTAAAACAAGAAACACTTATATATAGATTTAATTAGTGACATTAGGACATATTGAAAATGGCCACATCCTACAGACCATGAAGTTAAAGTCCCCCTGCTGCAGTCAATTATTTTATCCCTTAAAACTCATCTTTGATAATCAAAATGACATAATGATTAAAAAAAATCCTGTGAAAATGTTTTTCTATGCTTTAAAACAGCTTGAATGTAACACCCTTGGTTCACTAAGTATACGCAGAACCACGAATATGCAAATTAGGCCCCGCCTCTACTCAATCACACCAGCTCGGACTACCTGATCCCACTCGGTATAGTAAACATCACACAATGGGAAGTGGAAATATTAGTTTAATTCAGCCATGTTTCAACCAGGAACTTGATTCAGAAGAAGAAGAGAAAGAGTTAAATATACAGGGTTGTCTACATGTTGATGTAATAGAATATATTTCTGTGTTTTATATATCGCCCTCTACAACGTCGGGTTGATATGATTAGCCTTTGGCTTGACTACATTATCAAACAGCTAATAATGTATTGCTAATGTTACACATATCATGTTCCCAGTTTGCCATCTCAGAGTCACACAGCTGCCTTCTAAAAATCAGCATTTTTAGAAACGCTTTGAACAACTTAGA